GGCAGTGGTGCGTTCATTAAAAAATAGAAAGCAGCACATCAGGAGGACACCGAGGCCAATCCAACCAGTGCAAGGGTCAGGAAGGGGAAATTAAACCTCTAGTGCTTCCTGGGAACTGTGTGGCTTGGAAATTGGGTATCTGAAGCAAGGGAAATGCAAATGATCCCTGATAATGATTCCCTGAGTAATGGTAAAAAGCGCAATAAATCTGCATCCATTTTTTCAGACCACAAAAATGCAGCTTTGGTCCCCCAGGAAATCCTGAGGTATTTAAATTTATTTCTTTTTTTTTCACCTCAGGTGAAATTACATGAACTTTTTTTTAAAAATCTTTATATACTTGCTTTTATCATTATTGTTATTATTTTTAAGTGGGATATTCCAAACCATTTCCTTCTGATGCAGGTGGGGACTTCCTGCTTCAGCTGCGTAAGGAATTCACCATGGAATAAAGCAAAATTCCTATTCCTGCCTTATCGGTGAAGTGGGCAGGTTTGCTGCTGAGTTTTTGTATGTGTTTCATGCTCTTCTCCTTCAGCCCCAAAGGTGCATTGGTGTTTCCTCAGTTTGCAGAATGAGTGGGACCTCCAGGATCAGCATCACCAGGACTTTTCCTATGTCCCCTCCATAAGACCCAAACCTTCTGTGCTATCTGTGGCCCCCACAGCCTCTGGAATCTTCAGTCCAGCCCTGTGACACTCCACATCTCATGCCACCTCACCAGTGTTTTCCATCACCAAGATCGCCGCAGTACTGCAGAGACCAAAGGTGAGTTTACGTTTCAGCAAAGCTGCTCCATTTCTTTGCCGTTGATCATGAATTTGAAACTTCTTCATCACAGTCAGAGAATCTATTGGAAAAGGTCACTAATGTCATCTAGCCCCACCATCAACCCATCAGCTTCCAACAATCAACCCATTATCTAGTCCAACCATCAACCCAGTTATCCCCTAGCCAGCAAAAAAGGGAGAAAAAAAGACCCATTTTCCAGTACTGGGCCTCAGGGGCTGCATCTTCATCTTGATCCAGGTAAAAAGAGATGGAAAGGGCTTTGCCCATAGGCAAAGTGCAGAGCAGGAAGAGAAGGAGCCCATCTAGCGGCGCGCTTTGAAAACAGCCCTCATGTTGGGCATGGTTGGACGAAATTAATGGTTTTGAACCTGTGCCATTTGCTTTGGCTCATGGCAACCAATGGTTGAATTTGAGGTGAACAAAACATTCTAGCTGCTATCACACAGAAGCATGGAAAATAGTAAACAAGTTAAAAAGCTTAATTGACAAATATGGCCTGAAGAATTTTTCCTTCTTTAATGTCGCACTCAAGGTACTTGCTCAAATACCTGCTGCAAAGTGTGCTCTTCAGGCTGATGCTGTGGTTGTGCCATCTCTTCTATATCATGCTGCAAGGACATGGGGCACCCTAGGGACAACGTCCCCTCTGTTTCTATTACTGCCCCTCTTCCTCCTTTCCCAAAATTCTTATCTGGCTGTGTTTAGCACAGAGAACTGCCATGGGTGATGACAAGTCATCCTTCCTTCCCTATAAAGTCAGTTCTTCATCTCCTTGGCTGTGATAGGTTTTAGAGTGCTTGTATTGGTCTAGCAAAACACCACACCCCGAACATTTCCTATGATAAAATCTCTGGAATGGTATTTCCATACTCATATCATGAATAGTTTTGCAAAAAGGACTGGAGAGAATCTTTTCTCAGTTGTCAAAATGCTTTCTCTGGGTATTTGAAGAGACAGAATCATCCAGGTGGATGTGTTGGCCTGAAACAGCAGTTTGTTTAAGAAAATCAAAATAAGAAGAGAAAAAGAAAAAGAATTCTTTTTAAAAATCAAATCTGTCCTCTGAAATGTTTGCACTGAAACTCCATAGCTGGTAGGAGTTCACAAATACGATAATGTGTGTTTTGCTATTTTGCCATCATTCAGGATGTGGGCATTGTTTCAATACCTAAAACAAACAGCTACAGAACAAGACTAGGAAGAAAAAACAGTAATCACTTATTTGGAACTGTTCCCAGCCTCTCAAAGCTTGTAATACACGTATTAATGAATAGCTTGAAAACCATCTGAGATGAACCTTTCCCCTTTGTTGCAGTGACAGAATCTTTACAGCTGTAGCCACAGAGAAAAAGTAAATGCTGTCTTCATTTTCCTCATTGGTTTGCGAAAATTACAGCTGAGAACGTTTGGGTGTTGGCTCAAACACGAGGAGGAAAGGTGCTGCCCGTGTTTTGGAAGAAGTGGTATCATCTTCCTTTCTTCTCCCTATTATTCAAGCCACTACACGGTAATTATTCTTCCATTGCAATTAGGCAGTCGTCTGCTCCTTCCTGGGATGGGAGAAGTCACCTTGCTGGCAGATTCCTGTCTGTAGGAGGAGGGTGAATTGTTGGGTTGAGTTACCCTTCACACCTGAACATTCCAGGGGATGTCTTCTTTGGTGGTGCTGTTGGGGGATGCAGGCCTTACGGTCTCTAAGGGTTGAAGGGGAAAGATCTGGAAAGGCCACGACTGGGCTCAGCCCTTGGAGGTTGGGAGTGTCATGCAAAGCAAGTTCCTGCTCTACCAGGCTGCATATAAGGGCCAGACCGACTGTCCAACAAATCAACCTGCATCAAGTTGGGCAATAACCCAGGTCCAAATCTTTCTCAACCGTCTTCTTTAGCAACGATTGACTGAGCCCCAACCAAAGCAGACTCCACTCAGCCTCCGAAGGAAAGTCAAGCAGAGTTGCTCTAGCTATGAACTGCAAGAGGATGGCCATGCCTCTCCATACCCAAAGGAGAAACCCAAACTTGGAGCCACAACAGTTCCATGCTGTGGACCAGAGCATGGTGACGATGACATGCAGGTGGTCGGTGGAGCTGCCAAGTGTCCCAGCAGTGCTCCAGGCTCTGCACTGCTCTTCTTCCCAACTCATGTCTGTTAGCACATAATGGGGAATGCACTAAACTCAGATGCAAAATCAGCTGCTTAAGTGGACTCCATCCCACCCAATTTTAACTGCTCAGATGAGCCACCAAACTGGATTTCCTCAATCAAGTGGAGCTCAGCCAGAGGACTACCCATCTCCCTTAACCTGGGTCTGACATTCTGATGACCAAATTCAGATGGGACAATTTCTTCTTTCAGCACTGAAGTGACACCTCCTGCCCATCCCCAAGGTGCTTATCTTCTTTGCATCAGCCTTTAATACTCACTTTTTTCTTTTTTTTTAATGTTGTCATTAGAATTTTGCCCCATGAGAGCACAGAGATTAATAGCTCCGCGCAACCTGTAATTCTTTGTGTGCTGGAGACAGGAAGAAATTCATGGTGATAATAGTGTCTGCAAACCCTGTGGATGACAGGCAGGCTGTATTTGTCTGAGTGTATGCAGGCGTCTTGCATGGTGATGTCTCCATTTGCACTAATGCCCCTGCCCTGGGCTGCTTGTAGAGCCGAGATGGATCTAATTGATGCATCCAGTAGAGTCTTGCACTTGATGCACTTCATGCTAAACTAGGCTTCTGTGTTTGGTCAGGTGAATCATCTCATGGAAATGTTGGTTTCTTTCCATGAAATGAGCCCCCAGCTACCAGCTCTCACTTTGAGCTCCGTGTGGGAAATTTCAAAACTAGACAAATTTCATTTCCACCCCATTATGGCCAAGACATCTTCCAACTCATCCCTTTTAAGACATATGGGGCAACGTCACCCTTTCTCAGCCCTGATGGCACTTGAAGCAAAGGTGTTAGTGTCTGGAGTACATACAAATACAGCAGAGACCATCAAGCCCACAGAGGTCAGCACTGGCACTGTCCTCATCCAATTGCTGGTATGTGGAAAGACCATATGAGTGTGTTGTTCAGATAGCACAGTGGTGAGTGATACAGGTGGCACGCTAGTTGTGGAGGTGTTACAACACTCTGAAACATTTTGGGGATTCCTAGCAAGCTTTGATATCAGCTGTTACTTTAGCAAATGGCACCTTGGCCTATATAATACCTAAATGCTCATGTCACATGAAGAAGCAAATAGAATAAACATCTTAGGACTCTCCTTGTGTCTGAGCCCCAACATGTCCCAAATTGTCTACAGAGACAACGGGTCCTTTCTCTACCTGTGGACATACAGAAAGCAAAAGAGCACTTCTCCCCTGTCCTGTAATTACATTAGCCAGCATCTATGGAAAAATCCAGGAACAAAGCAAATACTTTCAATGCAGTTTATTGAAGGCACAGTGGAAAGCTGGGAAGTTTGAGCAGTCAGTGGAAGAAGCTCTGTTTGTGTGAGCACAAGACATCAGAGTCAGAAGCCTTAACACTTCCTCAGCGTTTCGGGGTGGGGATGGGGGTGAGCACTTCTAAGATTCAGCACACTTTGAACCAGCCACCCCTAACATGCACAAGCAAACGAAAGCACTACGTATTCATTTGTAAGCAAATTCCACAAAAAGCCTATGGTTGCAGTGCAAACAGCAGGTGCTTTGAACGCTGAAGTTGCCTTGCTTAAAATTTAAGCTCAAATTCTCAGCTTGGGGTTTCTCTTTGGATGAGAAGAGGAACGTGCTCCATGCAGCTCCTCCTGGGGAAGTTAAATCATCATGCTCTTTTCTGAAATGCTTTGGGAGGTGCTGTAAAAAAAAGAGGTGTCTTGTAAGGAAGAACACCCCTAATGCACCTGCTTGTTATGGGAAAGCTGGGGGGAATGCGATGGAACAAACAAAACCTAAAAGCTGCAGTCAACTAAGCAGTATAAACTCAAAGAAGTAAGATGACGTGGAGCACCTGCTGGAGAAGCTTGCTAGATGTGACTGTAAGGTTGGAGACTCTGAAAACATTATTCAGAGCATGTGTGTGATGTTACTGACTTTGGGAATGGACTGGGTGACAAATGTTGCTATTTGAGGGCAGAAAAACCCTTCTGCCTCATCTCAGTGGTAGGAACTGCGCGTCTACACGCCGCGCTCCGCTGCTCCTAGCTGTGCCACCTCTGTGGCTGCTGTCCCTATGGGACCACACAAGGGTCTCTGACCACCCCAAAATTCCCCACCACGCCGTTGTTGCACGCCACAACCTCAGGGCTGTTGGCTACCACCACTGGCGGGCCCGCCAGCTGCCGGATGACACAGCCTTGGTTCCCAAAGCTGACCACACCACCAGGTTGGCAAGCTCCCATCCTAGCATTCAAGCCCCCACTGGCTGTGCTGATAACAGTGCGGGCTGGGTACCCTCCACTACGGGAGCTGAACCCCCCGGTTTTACAATTGACTCCTCCAGCTTGGCAGAACACTTCTGGGACACATGGCTTAGCCACCGAGCTGATGACCCTCTTGGGGTGGATCCCGGCGCTGCGAGAGCTGAATCCTCCATTCTGGGAGCTGTGACGTCCGGACCGTCTCCCCAAGGAGCCGTAGCCACATGCTGCTGCGTTGGCAGCCAACATCCCGCAGTCATCAGGGAGGTTGTAGCCACTGCTGACCACCGCTGCAAGACAGCCCAGGGGATGCATTACGTGGAGCTGGGGGAGTCTTGCATGCATGTCATTCCACAAATGGCAGAACCAACCAAGCCCGATCCCCCCTGCGTTGGTTCAGCACTACTGCTCCCATCTCCTCCTCATGCCCCAGTGCATCCCCTCCATACCCTCCCACTTCCCATGCTGCTCTTCAGACTGGTGCAACACTCTCTTCCATGCATAATGCATGTTCTGGTGGCCAGGACAGAATGTTGCCCCCAAATGTAGAAAAGGGGTATGAATTTGACTTTCCCTCCTACATCAAATTAATGGTTTTCTTGAAATTTAAGGCCATTTGGGATTTCTGGGACAAACGTTTCTCATTGTGGGCCTAGGCTGAAATGAGGCAGGGAGCCAAAGGCAGAGGGGGCTGGGACAGGCAATTCTGCCCCATAAACTGCCCTTTCTACAAGGAGAAACCCTCCACGTTGTAAAACTTCAGGTTACTTACACACGCTCACCGGGTTCCCCACACATATCCTGTTAGGGGAAAGAAGAGAAATGTGTATTATTCCAGTAACTAGTGGCATGTATATCTAGAAATTTGATGTCACTCATCACTTGCAGCCACATCCAGCCCACTTGTCTCTTAATCCCGTGTTGCAACACATCTGACTATTCCTAGGACAGTAACTGCTGTTGCTGGCAGAAAGTGAATGGGATGGCCTTCAGCCATCTGTCCACCCCCGCTTCTGTGAGCCTGGGAGGATCCCAGACCTGCAGAGTTCACTTAAGAGCTGGACTCATTCCGGCCTTAGCTCTGATATTCAGGAAGAAAGAGACAAACCCTCTGCCACCCACCTGCTCTCTTCACCCTCCAACAAAGTCTTATAGGTGGCAATCTCAATGTCCAGGGCCAGCTTGACGTTCAGCAGCTCCTGGTAATCCCGCAGCATGCAAGCCAGCTCATCCTTGGCCTTCTGGAGGGCATTCTGCAGCTCAACATGCTTCTCCCGTGCATCCTTCAGGGCACAGTCCCCGCGCTGCTCAACATCACAGATGGAGGTTTGCAGGCAGGAGACCTGTCAGGGGAGAGGACAACAGTGCAGGTGTCTTTGCTTTCTTAGTGCTTGGGTGTTCTGCATGCAGCCCTTCTGATTGCAAACAGGGAGAGATACCAGCTTCCCTGGAGTGCTTTCTTATCTCTATCCACTTTTGTACCACTTTGTACAACACATGACTAAAGCAACAACTTTTAAAATAAAAGGAATATTTGGCTCTCAGCTTTCTCATCTGTTTAAATTCACTGCTGGTCACCACGGTAGGCTGGATTTGGGTCATACATCTACTGAAGGCCAATGCATCACCTTCCCCCATGCCTGAGCTGTCCTTGAGACACACGTGGCCTCTGGGTCCCACCTACCTGCTTCTTCACATTCTCCAGTTCACACTGCAATTTCTGTATCATCCGGGTCAGCTCTGAAATCTCACACTTGTTGCTCTGCAGGTCATCGCAGTACTTGCCCCTTTTATCCTGAAGCTCCTGAAACTGGAAGACAGAAACAAGACAGTTGCCACATCTGACCTGCAGCCCATGAGCTGGAATAGGTTGCTTCGTACTCACCCTGGTTTGGTAGAAGGCATCCACTTCTTCTTTGCTCTTCTGAGCAATTTCTTGGTACCAGCACTCAACGTTCTTAATGATGCTCTCCATGTCCAGGTCCCGGTTGTTGTCCATTTTCACGATGACCGAAGTGTCGCACAGCTGGCGATCAACCTGAGCCCGTTCCTAAACATTGGGGAATGGCTTGGTCAGCTGCAAGGAATTCTCAGGCTTTGTAGCAAAGGGAGGGCTGGAACAAAGAGCCACTCTGCTCAGCTGATGGGTGCAAGTCAAGAGCTCTCCCTCAAGTTGGCTCAGCAGAAAATCCTCCCTGCTGGATGAGTTGCCGCGTGCCAGCTGCTGACCTGCAGCAATTCTGTCCACATCAAGGGCAAGGTATGCAAGTGACTTAACCCTTGGTATCCTGTCATCTTCAGCTGCTTTGCTGATGTTAATGACAGGATTAAGCTGGGAGCTCTAATCAGACAACTGCAATCTGGAGTAACGAGACAGGTTCACCTCTGTTCTCAGGGATAGAGTTAGGACACAGCCAATTCATACCCAGAGATGCATTAAGAGAGGGGGAACCACCCAATTCCCAACACAATCATGCTAATATCAACCAACAACATCAGCCTTGTAGTTCCATGCTTTCAAGTGTTCAGGGCTTGGGATGAGACAGATCCAAGAGGGACTGGGTGCTGGAGCACCCAAGAATGAGGCAGCACCCAGTGCTGGGACAGAGCCAAGGAACTCACCTCTTCGAACACACACTTGAGCAGCTCCAGCTGCCTTCTAAGCAGGTCCACCTTCACCTCCAGCTCTTCCTTGTTCAAAAATATGCAGTCTGCATCCTGAAAGAGAGGAGATGTGCTGTGAACACTTTGGAGAAACATAGGGAAGGCAGAGGCAGCCCCAGAGGAGTAGAGACATGTTTCAACAGAGTTCCAGGAGCAGAAAGGTGTAAAGGGATGAGTCAGGTGCCCCACTGTCTCCTCAAGGAAAACAAAGCCACTCCAACGTGACTGACAGGGATTAGTTTATTTATTTGGACTTAGCTACAAACTCAGAATGGACTAATGAGGACTTTAAAATGATTTTTTAATATTGTTCAAATGATTTCTCCTTTTCTGATGTGCAAATATAAAGGATATGAAGAGACTGTCAGGAAATAACCTGTGTCTCATACACCATTTTGTGGCCTCGCACTCTGTCCCCATTCCATGAATGCATCACGAAACACGCAATCTAAGGGTGTGTTTGGTCCAACAAAGCTATTGCTGCAGCACTGATCATGTGGGCTGTGAGTATTTTCACTTTCTCCTCCCATTTGCCTCTTTTTCTGACTGTGCTTCTTTACAGGCCTCCCTCTTTCTGCTCACTGTAATGCTTCTGCCAAGTGTTTGCTCACCATGCTCTATTGCAGCCACGTTTCATACCAGATAAACCCATGAAAGGTCTAACAACCCATTTACTTTGAGCTTCTCACCTTTTTGAGTGCCACAAACTCATTCTCTACAGTCGTACGCCTGTTGATTTCCTCCTCATATCTGTTGGGAAAGGAGAAGAAAAGGGCTGAGCTGAGCAACACCACCAAACACACAACCACCACGACGAAGAGCAGCCTCCCCTTGCTCAGACTGCCATCAGACACTGCAGGCACTGTGTGCAAGCCAACATTAGACCATACAAAGATCACAAGCTTCTTCACCAATACCAGCATTAACAATGCAAAGAGTCTGCGAGTGAGACACAAGAATGGGACATCCCCAAAGGGGACACACCGTGTGTCTGAGACAAACTAAAGAGAAGTCTCAAAAGAGACCCAAAGGTCCTTACTTGCACTTGAACTCCTCCACCAGCTGGCTTGTGGCACACTCCTCATTGCCCAGCTTCTGCTTCTCGCACAGCAAGCAGTCCAGGCGCTTCCGCAGGTCACAGATGTAGTTCTCAAAGTAGAGCTCCAGGTTCTTCCCTTTCTTTGGCAGGACATACTGCTGCAGGAGGCCCCACTTGGTCTCCAGCACCTTGTTCTGCTGCTCCAGGAACCGGACCTGCAGGCCAAAAAGGAGTGATTCTTCAAAGAAAGGTGGATGCAATAGTTCTGCACCTGATTTAACTGTCTGCTCTCAGACAGAAAGCAGCAAGAGTCCTGCAGGCATAAGAACGGGATTTTAGGAAAGTGAGGGGTGATATGCCATGAGGAATGTGAAATTATCTGCTGGCATTTACAAATATTAAATGCACACAGGCCTGTGCTAACTCCACTTATCCCCAGTGGTTGCAAATGAGCTCTTCCAGAAGCTCTGATGGACTCCAATGGAGCGCCCAACTGGAGGGACCTGCTTGTCTCTTTTCTCTACAAAGGGATCCTAATGTAACAGCTCAGAATTAGACACCTAACATTTAAATGCTTGAATCAGGAACAACTTTCTCTGACTTCAGGAATGCTTTTGGAACAGCCACTATATTTAGTGGCAAGGGGAAAAAGGACTCTAACACAGGACAGAAAGATGAGCCCATCTGAAGTGGAGCTGTTGGACCTGAGTGACCAATAATGACCATTCCAACCTTAGCTGTTCTCTGATTCCCTGATTTTGTATTGCTATGATTCTACGATTCCATGATTCCATGACTCTATGATTCCATGATTCAATAATCCCATGATTCCATAATTCTGTGATTTTGTGATTCCAAAATTCCATGATTCCACGATTCTGTGATTCCATGATTCCATGATTCTATGGATCCATGATTCTGTGATTCTATAATTCTATAATTCCATGATTCTATGATTTTATAATTCTATGGTTCTGGCTGTGCTAGAAAAAGGCTGAAACAAGAATTCAGCTTTGATCTGGGGCCACCCAGACAGGAGACAACAGCAAGAAGGTCCAATGCTGCCACGGCCAGAACAGTCCCCATCAAATCCTATGTGCCCACACTGAGACAATCTCCTACACTGAAGACCTCATTTGGAAGATTGTGGGCCCTTGCATGTACCCAGCTCAGCAACGGATGGCCTGAGCAGCACTGGACATCTGGGGAGGGTTTATTTTTACTTTTTCCACCACCAGCTGCAAGCAAGGAGCAGTTTGCACTCACCTTGTCAATGAAGCAGGCAAACTGTGTGTTGAGTGTCTTGATCTGCTCCTTCTCCTGACAGCGTATTTCATGTTCCAGAGGGTCAACCCCAACACAGAGGGGCTTCAGGAGCCTCTCATCGATGCAGATGCCCTGGATTCCTTCCCCCTTGCGATCGGGGTAACCCCTCACGATGCTGAATCCCCTGGGACCGCAAAGGCCGACCCTTCCTCCGGCGTTACCGTAGCCAACAACCCCTCCGAAGCCGAAATCTCCAAAACACCCATTGCCACAGACCCCATTCACATAGGAAATTCTTCTGCTCCCACCCAGGTTGCAGACGCTGCGGCTGCTGTAGGCTCCGGCCGCGCACCGGGCAGGCTGGCATGCAGCAGCATAGCTCCGACCACAGATCTCCGACGCTGAGCTGAAGCCTCGCCGTCCCAGCATGGACCTCACCGTCGGTGCCTGTCTGCTCATCTTGGGTGAAGGCAGATCACGGGAGTCGAGGGGAAGCTCTTCTGCAGGAGAGGAACAGAGATCCCGCTGGGGTGACACCGCGATGCCACTCCTTATATACGTTTGGGAAGCTGGTCCTTGATAGGATCAGGACGTTAATTTAAAGCGCTTAAGGGTTTGGTTTGCCTGGCAGCAATAAATGCTCCTCAAAATGCAAAGCAGCCCAGCAAATACCAACTACTGAGGAAATAAAAAGGAATCTAAAAGTGCTCTGTTTGCAAGTTGGCTTAGAATATATTACGGTTTGAAGTGCTCCCCTAACTTAGGCTAATTATAGTTTAGTGAACGTTTTTTCTGAAGAAACTCTTTGTGATTTGTTTGCTGTGTGTCGTTTGGGGTTTTGTGTCTCATGGGTTTCTGTGAATGATGGCATATTTTGCAGACTTGTACTTTGTGTGGTTAATTTCACAATCTCTCCTTTTTTTCCTCACCAGGTTTGTTTTGGACATGGAAAAGTTACCAAAATCAACCACGGAAAAACACTAGCAGTCATGTTGTGATGTATGCGTTGTTTCCCTGCCTGTACCACAGGTAGATCTACTGAGTTATGGGTCTGCATTCATATGCGAGGATTCAAAGTGCCCTGCAGAAGCATTCTCTTACAGCATTTCACTGACCTTCTCCTACCACCATGAAACCCCACCAAAACAGGGCAGGTTCCCCCAGGAATTGAGGCATCTTCCAGTCTGCCCACTGGATTTACATTCTGTGGCATTTCAGGGATGAACTCACCTGAACGATGTTGCAAATTCTTAACCTGGGGTCCATTTGACATTGTTAAATCTTCATCTATTGCTGCTTTGGAGCTTCTTCCCATCTGAACGCGAGACCTTTTGTTTCATTGTCTGGTGGTCTCTACAACTAACAAAAAGGGAAGAGCTGCACCTTCCAGCCTGGGGAGTATTCCAGAAGTGAGTGCTGAAAGTTGGGTGACATTGCCAGGCACGTCCTTGACCCAATGGAAATGCATTAGGGAGAGACAACAGCCCCCGGCTCAGTGTCCGGGGAGCTGAGGTGATTCACACCCACAGGCATTGGTCTTCTTCATCAACAGAGGAAGTCTTAATGAGTAGATTAAACTGAACACCTGGGATGGCTTTGACTCACGTTGGTAAGACAAATCTCTCGCTCCTAATCACCAGCCCAAGGAGGTGAGGCTGAGCCAACCCTCCCTGGGCCTTTCTAAATGACAATTGCAAAGACAAAACAATAGGGCTTTTTCAGCTCTCTGAGAGTAAAGATTTCGGGATAGAAAGACACATTACCACACACTCAACCAATTGCCTTCAGCCCTTCCAAAAGGGAAATATGCTTGGAGAAATCTTCATGCTCTCTCTATATCAATGATGGTATCTGCAGACAGCCAGTAGTACGTTCCTGCATCCTCTTTAGTCCCGCTGAAGACATTTCTACTGCAAGTCACAAAACGAAGGCTAAACCTCTTTATAACATAAAACCTTCTTATATCAAGCTCTCTGAAAGGGACACACACCTTGAACCTTAGCGAACCATAGGACGTGACTGCAGCACCGAGATTCACCAGGCTATTAATTGAATGTGTAATTGCAACTTGCATGAGTCTGAGGGGCTGGTGGTATAAATTAGTTGCGTAAACTGATACTCTTGCCCTATACAGGTGGAATAATTCAACATATTTATAGCATGACTTTTTTGTTTATAATATCTTAGGCTCATGTTCATGTTGTGTTGCCAGCGCAACTGGCAATATCAGTTAAAACATTCTGCTAGCAAATATTAGAGGCTTAAAAGCTAAAGCTTGCAACTTCTCAGATCCTTTAAGTTCTGAACAAAGGCTTATCAAAAGCAAAATGCATATTTGAATCCAAAGAGCAGTACAAAAGGCAATTGTTCCAGCTCTTTCACTCAGCTGGAGCTAATGCGCGCTCTATGTAGGAAGACTGAATCCCAAATCAGAAGTCGGACTGAGAGCTGTGTCCTCCTTCCTGCACCCCATTATACTTGCAGGCTGTGTGGGAGACGCCTGGAACGCATCATAGACTGCAATTAAACGTCTGCCAACTAACTGCACTGAATTAGCTCCACTTTCAAAATGTCTCACCAGAGCTCCATGAGAGGTGCGAGATTTTGGGCATGGGTTGTCCAGTGTTGGGTGACACTTGTCTTGGCCAACCTCCTGCTCATGATCTCAGTTATCAGGCAGCTCTGTGGAAGGTTCACTCAGTGTCATTCAGGTCTTTCCAAAGAACACAGAGTGTTTCTTCTGTTGCGACACCAGGCCTCAGGAGTCACCAATTTGTCGTGAGTACAAACATGGGAGATGGGAGAGCACTTTGAAGCAAAAAAAAAGACATTTTTTGACTGAAAAAAAAAAAAAAAGAGGGATCCATCCTACTTTCATCTCATAGAAAAGAAGGACAAAGAAAGGAAAGAAGGAAAATATTTTGATGGGTTGAATGAATCATTTTAACGACTTGCAATCTCTCCCTTTGTCAGCGTTCTGTATGTGCTGCTGAGAATGGAATTCATTATGAGAACATGTGAAGTTCACTAATTTGTTTGTTGCCTCTGGAGGTGAATCTGAACTAGCTCTTAAAATGCATTTTATGCGATAGTCTCAAAGAGCTGTGCTCCATCTCTGTAATTACAGACAGCCATGAAGAACTCATTGCATTCAGACAAGACAATGGCAATAACCTACCTGTGCTAACAGCATTTGATAGACATAAGATTGGGTCACAGTATGCATTTTTACACACACACACAACTCCAAGGACTGTGTAATCTCTTGTCTGTGACATTCATGAGATCTTCAAGTCTTGCTTTGATTGGTGCATCCCTGTTCTCATGTATCCTAAAGCCAAAAGAATTCTGTGTGGTAATGTGCTTCTTCCTCTCATACCCTACATCTGCTCTATGTTTAGAAGTCAAGGCTGGGATTTTCAAAGCATGCTCCTCAAAAAATGCATCAAACACTGGGCCTGGATTCACCTCCCTCCCAGCTTGAGCCATCAAACTCGCCATGTATTCTAATTTCCTCTTTAAGACTCCCTCTACAGCTGATGGAGGGAGATAGGCATCTCCAGACAGTGACTCATCACTACCTAAAATAGGCAGAGAAGACAGGTGGGAGGAATCAGCCTCTGGAGGCACTTGCCTCGCTCCTTACTGACGACCAGAGGCAGTCTAGACAACCAGACAAGAGCCCCGGCGCCCAGCTGCTGGATGGGCACAGCTGGGCGAGATGAGTCCCACCCTTTGGGTGCCACATTTCTTCATCACCTTTGAAGTCTTAATGAGAGCACACAACATCACACGCTCTTCTGGATTTGCTCCGTTCCCCGTGGATGCATATGTCCTATCTCCGTGCTGTGATTAGCGCCTGTAAAGCCAAGGCTTGCGACAAAGCAAAGGGTTGTTTTGATCTTTTTCACGCTGATGCCTTCCCCCTGCATAGCAGAAATAAAGGTGTGGTGTATGGGAATCCAGGCCTTCGAATGGGACAGCATCCAACTGCCTGTAGGATGAGAAAAGGAAAAGAAAACATTGCAACTGTCACTGGGCAACAGCAACATCCCTATAAATGCAGAGCGCTTCCCTCAAAGCTGTTTTCTTGGGGAGATGAGGTTCCACGAGCACTACAGGAGGAAGGAATTGCCTGTGGAAGATGGGGCAGGTCCTCCTGGGAAGCATAACAAGGGGATAGGTTCTTCCCTTTGTAATGTGAAGGCACCAGTGCCCCAGCCCTTGTCTGGTTGGGTCTGCAGAGCTTTGTGATCTATTTCTGCTGAATTTCTGAAGAGTGCTGGTTCATGAAGCATGGCTGGAGGAGAGAGTTTGGAGAATATTAATTCTACCTCATCTCCCTGACTCCTCTTGTGACAGAATCATCTGTTTTCAGTGAGAACACTATAACCTTTATGAGACACTTAACCTCCTCTTAAAGCATGCTTATGGCGCTCAACTGTTCCTTTCTTGTCAAATCTTTCCCATGGTTTTATTCACTAACGATTGTGACTGTTCTGTGGTCCTGATTTTCTGCTCCTATTTGATTGGGAAAGAGGAATGGTAGAGGGAGAGAAAGTCCCAAATCCCAACAATTGCTTCAGATAGAAAAGGACCTCCCTCTGGATTTTGTAAAACACCTCTCTGTCCAACTTGTGCCTGTATGGTTCATTTCTTTGCTCTGCCAGCTCGCTTTAATTGCTTTAATCACAAAACAATTCAGTCCTCAGTAGTTGGTTTAACACATTAATTTGTTGGCTTCTTTTCAGCCTGTTCAGGCAAACACGGCAAAATTTCATCCCCTGATCTGTTTTAAAACCCTTTTAAAACTGGCCATCACTGAATTTCCAAAATGAAGCTGAAAACATCAACCAAACACATTCCTGGTGTTTTTCCAATAATGTCCCCATTGCAGAAGATTTGAGCATCGATGAAATGTGTTTTTTCATCACTCCTTGGTAGTATATGTGCTATAAAAATGCAAAGCAGCTGAGATGACTTCTCCATGAATCTTAAAACTCTCATTGAGTGGAATTGGGTAGGATCCAAATTTGGTGCAAAATTGGCATAAAAAAGCTGGCCTTAAATGGCTTCAATAGTTTACAGTTAGCAAAATGTGGATCTGCCACACTGACATGACTGTCTCTGTGCAGCCCAGTTAGCTGTTGAGGCTTCTCAACAGCAGATCTGCCTCTTCTGATGAAGGAATTTCTGTATCTTTGTTAAACACAACAAATGAAGTGGCAACACATTCATTCTCCATGCACTTTATTGGAACAAGAGCAAAAATTGCAGAGCTCAAGTCATCAAGACACAAGCTGGGGTGCAGAAATGTATGCACATGTCAAAGTGCAGACTGCCTGTCAGGACATAAAGAAGGAAGCTAACAGAACTACAAGAAATATAATTAGTTTTTGCTGGCTACAGAAGGTGAAATGCCTTTTTTTTTTTTTTTTAATTGAGTTTTCTTTTATGACTTTCCTGCCTGCATGAGGATGACAAAGATGCTCCGAGACAGTGCACAAAGAGCACACAGGAGTCTGGCCCCTCCTCTCTTGCTGAAGCACTCTAGGGAAAGGCTTTTGCTTTAAATGTCATAACTCGTTTCATAGAAAGCGAAGCTTTAATTGGGAAAAAAGAAAAGGCTGGTGGGAAGCTGAGATTGAGTGATAATATAAGTGCTTTTAGAGAAGCAGCATGTTCTAAGCATTCTTTTTTTGATGCGATCCTGGTGGGGCTGCTCTGATGTGATTTCCTGATGTCTGTTCCCCTCACGCAAGGCGGAACTGAGGTGGAGCAGAGCTTTCATTCTCTACTTTGGATCTTGCATCCTCTCAGATCTGGAGCTCAGACACGGGTGGTGCTCCTGGAGCACGGCGTCCCAGCTGAGATCCTCGCTCCTATCCAGCACGGTGCTGATGGCTGAGCTGAGCTCTCTGAGCTCCCTGCAGTCCCACAGCAGAGCTCAGCAGTGCTCACATGGGCTGAGCTCTGGCCAGCATGGGCCCCACCTCCACAGCTCCATTGGTGGCCCCTTGGGAAGCAGCTGCATCTGGGAGCACTGGGGAGACATTTCTTGCCTGCAGCGCTGGTGGACCCTTTGTGATAGACACCATCATCCCCAGGTTGGGATGCTCTGCTGGCACCAGGGGAGGACCCACGTCTTCTGCAGGCTGCACGAGGTCCATGTCCCAGGCCGGTGCTGCAGCCAGAGGAGGTGTTGCACGGTGTCGTGATCACTGCTATGGGGAAACACAAACTGAACCACTGAGTGGGACTTATTTCCATGTGAATAATGCAAATCCTGCTTTATGTCCCTGCAAATCACCCCCTGGCTTTTGTAGTGTTGTAAGGAAAATGGAAAACCTGGAGCTTACTTACACATTCTCACAGGGCACCCAGTGCGCAACCTGAAGGGCAAGAAAATCATAGAACCATTAAAGGTTGGAAAAGACCTCTAAGACCATCCAGTCCACCCCCAACCCATCCCACCATGCCCACTGACCACGTCCCTCAGTGCCACATCTCCGTGGTTCTTGAACCACTCCAGTACAGTGACCACACCACCTCCCTGAGCAGCCTGTGCTGGTGCATAACCACTCTTTCAGAGGAGAAATTGTTCCTAACAGCCAACCTGACTCTCCCCTGGTACAATTTGAGGCCCATCTCTCATCCTACCACTGCTACCTGAGAGAAGGGAGCAACCCCCACCCCACCACAGCCTCCTTTCAGGGAGCTGAAGGGAGCAATAAAGTCTCCTCTGATCCTCCTCTTTTCCAGACTGAACAATGCCAGTTTCCTTAGCCTACCACCAAACATTATCAGAAGATTATCCATCACATAACTTGCATCTCTAGTGTTTTCCAATCTTCTTGTCTACGCTTAGAGCCCTGGGGGCTGAAGACTGCTCACACATTATAGAGGAACCCACCTGCTCTCTTCACCCTCCAACAAAGTCTTATAGGTGGCAATCTCAATGTCCAGGGCCAGCTTGACATTCAGCAGCTCCTGGTAATTCTGCAGCATGCAAGCCAGCTCATCCTTGGCCTTCTGGAGGGCATTCTGCAGCTCACTGTGCTTCTCCTGCGCATCCTTCAGAGCACGGTCCCCACGCTGCTCAGTGTCACTAACAGATGTCTGCAGAGTTGACACCTGTGTGGGCAATAAATGAATCCTTATTTTCCATAATCATCTGCAAAACCTAAATTCTCTCCTCTTTCAGGAGTCCAAAATTATTTGTAATCTGGGAATTATTGGTGCCGTTTTTCCGAAAGCCAAACGCTTCCAAAATCAAGTATCAATTCTGAAATACTAAAGAAAGGCTGAGCATGTCTCCTTACTGTGCTAAGCTTTGCTTCAAGGATACTAACACTTTGTTCTAATTGGAACTAATAATTAAGGTTTTCCATTACTTCCCGTTATAAAATATTTAATGAATCAGATGGTCTGAAAATTGCACAGGTTACTATGTTTGCTGAATTACTGGTGACTCATAATTCTACCCAACCTATTGGATGCTTTGAACCTGTGTCAGAAGCATTGTCTCCCGCTGGAATTCTCACTGAAGCAATTGTTTGAGTGCTGTAGCAATTCTGAACATCTAATATGGCTCCATGATTTTTTGCAATCAATCCAACAGAGAATAGGCCAGCAGATAACCCTTCTTCCCTGCTTGGCAATGCTAAGTTCCTTATGGCAATGAGACCATGCTCTTACATGAAAGCAGAAGAAACGTAAGAGATGCAGAAAACAAGACTTGAGATCCCACACTTAGGATAAAAGAAGGTACATTTTCAAGGGTAAATGCAGCCCATTGTACCTGGTTCTTCACGTTCTCAAGGTCCCTCTGCCATCTCTGCATCACAAAACTCAGCTCCTCAATCTCTTGCTGGTGGGACTTCAGTTCACTGCATTGCTTCCTCTTTGCCTCCTCGAGCTCTTGGTACTGACAGAAAAGACAGAGCTGGCAGAAAGCACTGGTGGTGTTTGCAACATAGGAGCCTTTCCTCTGTTTCCAAACTTGAGGAAATTTCTCGTGCATAGAACTCCTGAGGCTGTCAGCAGCAAACAGAGCATTCCTCCTGCAGCCCTCAGAGCTCAACTCACCCACCACCTCCCCATTCCCTGCACGGCTCAGTGCTGTCCTATTGCACTGTGTGCATTTTGGGGATATCTCCTGACTTGGAGATTCCATCAGGTTTAGAAGAATGGAAAGCTAAGTCTGGAAGTCACATACTCAAGACACAATGAATGAAGTCATTGCCTCTGAGCTACTACATTTGGCACCTACAGAGCTAACAATGTGTTCCTGGTTGTTACAACTTACCCTAGCTCTGTACAGTGCTTCCAATTCGGCCTTGCTTTTCTGTGCTGCATCTTCGTACCACAGCTCAATGCCCCTGAGGATGCCCTCTGTGCCCAGGCTTTGGCTGTTGTCCATTTTCACCACAACAGAGGTGTCACAGAGACTTTTCTCCAGCTCAGCAGTTCCCTAGGAGCCATAAGAAGAAGCTGTCAGCATTTCTTATCTCACATTCCAGTGAAAGAGTCACCATCACTGAGAGTTTGTCTGGAGCCAGAGCCCATGAGCTGTGACTTGATTTGGTCATGCATGCAGCTAGAAGGAGTTCTTTTAAGGTCTCAAAGGCTTCCTTGTTCCCACTGGCTCTCAGAGGGAGTCTGCTGGGTTGGTTTAATCAGGCCTACATCAGGGTAGACAAGGAGAGGTTTATAGGAACGTCTGCAAGAATGGAAGAGGAACATCCATACCTGAGCAGACACACACTTCAGGAGCTCTGTCTGCTGCTTGAGGGTTTCCAGCTTCGCTTCCAGCTCTGCTTTGGTGAGGTAGACACAGTCCACATCCTAAAAGGGTTCCAGCATTAAGGGTAACTTCATTAAGTTTTTAGCATAAGAGATTCTGTTTAGGTGATGTAATGGGGAATTTTTTCTGAATCTACACTTGTCCGATGACTTTCAGCATTCTCAAAATCTGACCGATGTCTTGCAAGCACCAGGTCTGAGGAAACTCCTTGGATACCTCAACCCATCCTTTCTGCCCACCCAAATTCCTTACCTTCTTCAGCAGCACAAGCTCAGTCTCAGCAGCTGTGCATCTGTTCACCTCCTGCTCATATCTGTTGGGGAAGAGATGGGACCAGTTGCTGGGTCACCCTGAGGCTGCAGCCTTTTCTGCGTACTGGGGGAGTTTGGGGTGCTTTGGGATCTCAGCCTTTATCAGACAGAAGTTTGTTGGTACTGACGAAAGGAAGTCCAGCTGGAGAAGCTGTTTCAGCTCTCTACCCTGGGAACTCACTTGCATTTGACCTCTTCAATGAGCTTCTCAGTGTTGTTCAGCTCCAGCTCCATCTGCTCCTGCTCATGCAGCAGTGAGTCCAGCCTCCTCTGAAGGCTGCAGATGAAAGTGTTGAAGACGTGCTTAAAATTCTTCTGGGATGGCAGGAGGTGCTTTTGGAGGAGGGCCCATTTGGTGGCCAGCAGCCTGTTCTGCTGCTCCAGATGCTGCACCTGAGTTCAGAATGCAAAGCACATGTGAAGACATATCATATGGGGACCAGATAAATGTGAGGGAACAGACATTCTCTCCTGAGTTCGTGCTCCAGGGACAAATTATGGTTTGAAGGCAACAAAAGGACAAAAGGGGAGCATTGGAGGCTTTGCCACCCAAGAATGCTAAAGCAAGCTGGGCGTGCTGCTCTGCCATTCTCCAAGAAAGCCCCACAGCCTCTGTGGCTGCTAAGGAACCGTGAGCTCTTTAAGCAGATCAGCAGGCTGATAAAGGAAACCATCATTTGTGGGTAGGAGGCAATGCAGCTTACAAGGTCTACCTGCACAGAGAGAGGGCAGCAGTGCAGGAGTTCAGGCAGATCCCTTAGAGGAACAGCTCCCTTCTGCCATTAATGGCAGCTTGTCAAAGCATAATAGTAATCAGATTAAAATTACATTATCAGCTAGATCTGCACTTACAGCTCATGGCAATGGAGCCATATGTATTAAAACAGCTTGTGATACAAAGAATGGGACAGGAGAAGGAAAGGAATGAAAGACCCAAGCACGAATAGCTTTCCTCAATACTTAAACCTCATCACTCCCTTAATCTTTCTCCATCTCTCACCTTGTCAATCAAACAGGCAAACTGGTTATTGAGGCTCCTCATTTGCTCTCTCTCCTGCCTTCGGATGCGCTGGATTTCGGGGTCGATCTTCACATCAAGCGGCCGCAGCAGGTTCTCATTGACACGCACTGCACGAATGCCTTCCCTTCCACAGCCAGGGAAGCCCAGCATTCTCCCATGCTTCCCGCCCTCACCACTGGCACGAACACCAGAAGAAATCCATTTACACCCATCCACGTTTTGCAGGCTTTGGCTGCTCCAGGTTCCATAACCTCTTCCAAACGGAGCAGTGGAGGGGAAGGCACTGCTCCGGCAGCAGCTCATGCCACCACTAGCAGAAGATGCTGAGAACTTCCTTCCATGAAGAGCCCTTCCAGCTGCAAGCTGCTGGCTCATGCTGGTTGATGTAACCCAAGAGAGGACGAAGGACACGGGGCTGCAGGAAGAGAGTGGAGCAGGCAGCTCCAAAAGGGCCCCTCTGCTCTGCCACCCCCGAGCACCACCTTTATACACATCTCAGGAGCAGGGCTTGGTTAAGGCAGATAAATAATTTGGGGTTTTTGCGAGGTTTGCCTCACCTGGCAGCAATTCATAGGTTTAAATATGCAAAACAATGCCTAATACTGAACATTTGTGAAATCCTATGGAATTTTGCTGTTTGTAAATTGCTTTGCTTGCCTTCCCAGCCTTGAGGACACCGTGGGCTGAGTTTTGCAAGGATTCTTCTTTTTCTCAGCATGTCTTCCTTCCTTCCATTAATCACCCTTGAGAGAATCTCCCACTCTGTGAAGGAAAGTTTGTAGGGCAATTTTCTGTTGGACAGCAAATTAAAACTGAGTTTTGCATTATCTGCTCCTTTTGTAGCCACTCCCTTAGGATTCTCTGAGTCTTGCGCTGGTTATTAGGGAAATTTATTCTCAGAAAGAGTGGTCAGGCACTGGCACAGACTGCCCAGGAAGGTGGTGGGGGTCACCATTGCTGGAGGTGTTCAAGAGCCATGGAGACTCTTGGTGGCACTGAGGGACCTGGCTCAGCAGGCATGGTGGGTTGAGTCAACCACTGGACTGGAAGATCTGGCAGGTCTTTTCCAACTTGAATGATCCTGTGAGTGGGCATGGTGGGGATGGGCTGGTGGTTAGGCTTGCTGGTCTTAGAGGTCTTCTCCAGCCCTAATAATTCTAAGATTCTATAATGCCAAGTCTTTCACAGAGTAGCAAAGACGGGACGTGTCCACCAGGCACGGCACCTCGAAGCTGGGACACGGGGTGGACTGGGACACAGATTTCCTCACACAGGAGTGTGAATAATTCTTTTTACATAGCCCTCTACGCACCATCCCTTGTTAAAGAACATCACTGGCTGAGCATGAGTCACCTCCTCTAACTTTCAGTGCTAAGCTGTGCTGAGATAGCTCTCCAGAGAGCCTTTCTCTTCTTCACTGACTGCAATGAAAGCCTAAAATGACGAGGTCAGGCTTAGATGCCCAACTTTTAGAAGTACAGATAAGTGCAGCTGTATCTTCTCACTAAGTTTTTAACCCTGATTGTATAGAATACATCAGCACACACACACACACACACACACACACACACAAAAAAAAAAAAAAAAAAAAGAGATTCCTTGAAGATAATAAATACTCTAGAAAGCTTAGCCACAAAGCTGTTAGCTGGATGCTTGCTAACCATTTAATTGGGAGCAGTGGTAGGCTTGGCCTTGGTGGGAAGGCAGCAAAGGGAGCAGCAACCATTCAAAACCACGCACCTTATTAATACAGCTGCTCTATGGCTATTCCCTGTCACAATCCCTTATATTTGAGCTTGTAATTAAAACTCAGGATACCTCAAGGCAAATAAAAATGATTTATTAGGGTTGCTTGACAGATGGGGAAGAAAAGGCTGATAATTTTAATACCTTTGCTGAGATCCTGACAATGCCTCAGGGTGGAGCCAAGATTACATCTCTGTCCTGGTGGCATCTTTCTAAAGCCTCTTTCAAAACAGAAAAGCAAAGGGTTTCATTTCAGAGG